TCTGAGAAGATCCGCAATCTCTGGAACACTTGTGTTGTAAGCACAACAAATGTAGCGACCAGAAGCAGTTTCTTTCTCTGCAAGAAACAAATGTGCACGAGCTAAATCGTCTACATGAACGACCGAGATCGAGCCAGATAGCTTCTGCATTTCCTTAAGACCGGTCACATGCATTTCTTTCCCTAACAACAACACCAAATCATTTATCTTGAAACAGAGTGGGATAAAATGGTAAATTCGTGTTTACCGGTGATTAAAGACATCGAGAGAGATAAACTGCTCGGAGGATCGGAGAGGAGAGAGTTTCCAGCTATAAGTGCCGGAATCACGGTAACGAGATCGATCTTATTCTCTTCCGCAAATTCCCAAGCTGTCTTTTCTGCTAACATCTTCGAGATTGGGTAACCCTAGAAATGAACAAAGAGGTAAGTTAATAAGCTGGTTTATGTAAGAAAAAGCCCTAGCTTGTGTGACAAGAAACGTAATTACCCAGTTAAAAGGCTTCTCCTCTCTGAGAAATTCAATGTCAGTCCAGTTTTCCTCATTCATCACGAGTCCGGTTCCAGAATCATTGTTGATGGAAACAGCAGCAGCTGAAGATGTGTAGATCACACGCTTAACTGATTTCGATTTTAAGCAAGATTTCAATACATTGATCACTCCTTGCATCGCCGGCTTGACCATGTCTTTCTGTATATTGAAACAAAAACAAGAATAGCTTGAAAATGTTTATCTTAGAGTAAAAAAACAAGCCTGCACATTCTGTTCAAGATAGACCTCAGGATCTTCGGATTTGAAGTTGATCGGCGTTGCGACATGGAAGATGTATTGACAGCCCGAGAATGAGGAATCAAAACTCTCCTCATCAGTCAAATCTGCCTTGAAGATCTTGAGGTCGCCAAGTTCTTGAAGTTCCCTAAGGTGAGCTATTTTCTTCTCGTTTTCTGCAGTTTCAGAATAATAAAAAAATCCTTTAAACATTCAAAATGCATCAGAAGAAGTTGGATAGAAGAAGAAGAAAGTGAAGAACCTGGATCTCTAACTGTTGTGTTAACTTCGTAGCCACTTTGAAGCAAATGCTTAATGAGAATAGAGGCTAAGTTTCCTGTGCCACCGATAACACAAGCCTTCTTCGATCCGGTGGGTGTAAGAGTCTGATCCATGATTGTAATCTGATTTAACTTTTAAAATTACAGAGATTGAGATTTGGTTGTTATGAGTTTAAAGGTCTTGAGACTTCTATATAAGAAGTAAAATTGCAAATAGTCTTTGCCATTTGGTACAACCATAGATCAATAAGACTTTTTTAGAAGGTAAGCTCGTGATCTTTGAGATAACCAACTTGTCTTCATCTAAGAATCAACAAAAAGATTGACTTGCTGATTTGTTAGCATCTACCAAAATTATCACAAGATTTTGATGATTTTTGTCGCTAAACAATATAGCTTTTAAAGTAACGATACTTCAATTTATATAACCAATTTGATCTGTGTGTTTGATGTTTTTTTTTTTTCCAAATTCTCGGCAATTTTTTACACCTTGCTATGTTCTGTTTCACTAGTTACAGTGGACTCAATTCAACAAAACTTGCTCTGTTCTTGTTCATGTTTCACATAATGGCCTCAAGCTTTGGAAAAATACACTTAGGTATTTTATAATATAAAGGCTACAAATCCAAAATAAAGAGTTTAACAAATATAAAACCACCAGAAAAACCAGAAAGTTACATAGAAAGATAACAGAAGATAATTCCTAAATTCGAAAACAAAAGAAGGCATTATGCATTGCATTCCGATATAAAAACCGATAAATCTACGAATCTAATGGCTTTTCTTCGAAGCTTCAACGATCTTAGACGACACCTCCTGCAAAAACTTCGTCTTCTCCAATACAAATTCAAGCTCCTTAGCTTGCAGCAACTTGAACTTCTCTTCAATAATCTTCTTCGTCTCAACCGGAACCAAACTCCATTGTTGCTTTACATAAAACTCATCAACACCCAATCCAGCAATCATCCGAACAAGAGACGAGTTATCAAACCAATCACCACCACGAACCAACACTTCCTTATCATCACCACCAACATCTTCAACAGTTTTACCATTAGTAGTTGAAGAACCACCACCAACAAAAACCAACTCTTGCTTAACCGAATCAATCTTCTTCTTCTTCGCACTCTTTTTCGATACACCATTCGACTTAACATTGGAATCAAGAGCAATCCCTTTAGGTCCCCAAATAAACTTTGACAATTCAAAAGCTTTCTTATCATGAGCTTTCACAAAACTAGGTTCTTTTCCTTCTTTACCAATATACTTCTTCCTTAAACTCCTAACCTTATCCATGAACTGATTCTTACTAACCTCAAAGCTAATCGATTTCTTGAGAAACTCGTAAAACACATTAGTATCTTCATAAGGAGACTTCCCTGTATCAGCTTTGAAATCAATCATTCCTTGTAACACTGAGATTTCGTCTTCTTCACTCCATAGTCTTTGAAAAGCTCCTGGTTTCTTTATACTCTCTTCGTCTTTCTTCACACGTTTCGTTGAAGTCGTCGTCGTAGCTTCACTCGCTGGACGTTTTGTTCCTGATTTCATCGCCGGTAAAGCTAAAGCAGCGGATGATGTTGGATCTTCTTTCTTCTTTAGATTCACGGCGGAGACGGCGATTGTTTTGCCAGATCCAGAATTCGGTGGATTTGTTGATTCAGAGTCGGAATCTGTTTCAGTCTCGGATCCAGAATCTGAATCAGCTGCGGCGGTAGAGACGGTGGTGGATTTTGGTGGAGCAGCGGCGGTGGTGGTGGTGGCGGAAGGGGTTTTGATTGGAGCTTTGATTGGCTGTTCTTCTTCAGATGAAGATGAATCGTCTGAAGCTTCTCCAGCTTCTGATGTCTCGACGTCATCGTCGTCGCTTGAAGAAGCTGTTGGTGGATCTTCTAAAGGATTGAGTTTCTTCGTCATCGGAGGAAATCGGAATCTTCGAGAGAGATATAGCGAGAGAAGCTTTTAGGGTTTGTGTTGTGAAGAGACGACGGCAAGTGGAGAGAATATAAAGGTGTTAACTTTAGTTAAAGATGTTGCTGTCTTCCAATAGATATTTTAGGGTTTTTAAATGATTTTTTAGTAATTTAATTATTTTTGGTCAAAGTAATAGGTATTTTAATAGATTCACTTCGGTAAATGTATTTATTGTTTGCATTAATGTGACTATTCTTTATTGGAAGTATTGTAATTTGTAAAGGGAACCCAAAGGAAAGGAATAATTCTAAGGAAGAAACATATATAAAAAAGAGAGAATTTGCGCAGAAGTAAAAATGGGAGAGTAAATTAGCTAATAGACAATAGCGTTGGACGTCCAAGACAATGCTAAAAAAAACTTGGTAAAGAGGCTCGGGGTTTGAAGTAATTACAAAAAAACCTACCAGCGTGGTACGTATGCGCGTGGGCGAAGAGAGGTGGCTCTATGTGCAACCGAAAGAACATTCTGACTTGCCTTTAATATGTCAGATAGAAGTGATAGTTATTCGGCAAAAGTCAATACGAGGTGATGGTTATTTAATGCGTGTGTCTCTCGTTTGAGGGTGTGGAATTTGAAATCAAAGGACAAAGTTTAGGCGCTGCGTTTATAGATAAATATAGTTATCTATAACAGCAGTTTATAGAAGTTAGAAAGGGATGTAACTGTATATCTAAACGAATGTCGCTTGACAAAAACTGAATGGACATTTATATAAACACATAGAGGTCTAATATACTAAATTTACATAAGATATATGACTCTATGAAAATATATGAACATGTATTTAAATTTATAGATAAATATTAATTCATTAACTAATTGAGAATTTTTAATTAAATTCGATTTTTTCCAAAAAAAACATGTTTCGATTGATTTTATGCATAGCATATGCTCCGTCGTCTTCTCCCTTTTCACTCCAATTTTTCTTGTTTTGTTTGTGCTCTTAGTCACCGTCGTTGGTTTTAAATCTACTGTTTCTTCATCGTTTGCAAAAAAACTCTAGCTATGTATCTTGGTCGTTTCTTCTTCCCAGATCCACTTACGTCTTTACCTATTTTCTTAGATCCGGTTTGGACATTCACAAATCTGCATAGATCTATACTTTTGTGTTTGCATGTTCGTAAGTTTTCTTGCGGGTCCATTAACTGTTCATCCCCCTCGTAATCCACATCCAGCAAGACCAACCTTGTTCTGTCTCTACATGTTCATGTTTTTAGCAATCCAAGTTAATACATGGATATTCACAATTGGATAAGACTCATTATTTGCAAACGTAGAGCTCTAGCTATCTAATAAGTAGAGATACAAGTAGAGATACATTATTTGCAAACTCTAGCTATCTAATAAGTAGAGATACAAGTAGATCCGGAGAGGCCTAACAGAAAAGTTAGAGTGTAAGATTGGAAAACACCAGTCAAAATTAGAGTGAAACAATTGAAACGACGGGTGATAAGATCGGAAAAACAAAAAAAAATCGAGAAACAAAACTTCGTGTAAATTCTACCCTCTGGCTTACCGAATTAGAGAGGAAGACGCTTTGAGACGGCGACTTAATAGTGACAACGGCATAATTTATGTACTTCACCGGAGCAAAAACAAGTTCTCGAAGACGAAGATGAGAGGACGACGAGACTAAGAGAAAGGTTTTGAGAGAGAAAAAATATGAGACAAAGATGAAGATGGTTTACGGCAACGGTGGCGTGAAGACTTAAGACGACAGAGGGATATTACAGAGGAGAGATAAAATGGAACAATGAGGAAAGTTAAATGGGTATCCAAAAGTCTGATATTAACAAAAAGGGAGAAGCGCGTGAGGATATTTTGGACCGAAATGTTGGCTAAATATTTACGTTGTCTTGGACCTGACAACGTTTTACCGAAAAACTAATTTGATTCAGATCGGTTGTCTCTCACCCAATTATCTCTATAAAAAATGTGTAGAATTTATATTTACAAGTATTAAAACACTTGTAACTGTCCCTTCGGGGACATCCGATAAAATTGGAACGATACAGAGAAGATTAGCATGGCCCCTGCGCAAGGAATCTTTTCCTTTGTGCCATCGATGCCTCTGTTTTTCTTCAAAATCCAATCCGATCTCTCCAATCTTTTCGCGGAGTAATATCTTCGTCGCTTTATTTTGCTCATGAAGTAAGAGCAAAGACAAGACCACATCAAGTTGGGTGTGGGCAGCGGTGGAGCTTCCCCGGAGATGGTGGTGCTCGGAAAAGTTTTGAAGCGGTTTCTTTCAATTGATCCGGAGGTTTCTCGATGATTTGGACAGGATCTGAGAACGACAGAAGAATGGAAGATTCTCATCGCTCATGGGCTGATCGGCGGCGGCTGATCGGATTCGTGCGGTGTCTGGCGATCGTTGACGGTGGAGTTCGGTGACTTGACGCGTGGAATGGAGCAAAACACGTTGCCTACACGTGTCTTTTTGCTAAAGCATTTGTTTTAGATTGGGCCGTTAACTTTTGTTGTAATCTTCCTGGGCTTTTGCTCCTTCTATAACTGCCCATTGGGCTTTTAATGCAAATGAATTGCCGACAAAAAAAAAAAAAAAAAAAAACACTTGTAACTTGTAACAGTGAGAAAGAGACTTGTGTTACGATTCGGTTTGATCGGTTATTTGGTTACCGGTTTTTTGTCCAGCCCTAACATTTAACAAGAAGTCAACAAGTAAAGAAAGATTGATGAAGAAGAGAAAGATCATCGATGAAAGACTCTACTTCTCTCTTTACCCAAGAAAATAGAGACTATGGGCTTGAGCTTATACATGCCTAAGTTCTGATCTTCTTTTAAATGAGGCGTAGTCCAGTTTGTGTAGAACCCACATGAATTACCAATCGGCCCAGAGCACATTTTTGACCCAAACACAACCACCTCATAATATATATAATAGAAAACATAACATGTGTCGTTGAAGATATATGGTTCATTGCATGATCCTTTTGTAGTTTTGTTTTGTCAAAGAGTTCAAATGTTCAATGCATGATCCTTGTCCCACGAAATGTGCCATACTCTGGTGCTGTCCAAGTCAAGTACATTCGAGAGACATGATGGAAAAATTGTTCAACGATGTTGTAAAACAAAATATACAAAAAAAAAAAAAAAAATTAACCATTCAGTTTGTTTAATTTAATCGAACCTGAATCAATTTCTAGTTAAAACGATTTCTTTCTTTCTCTTATATCTAAAAAATAGTAACTTTTCTTGTATTAAAAAATAGTAACAAAAAATCAAATTGAGTCATAAAATAGAAAACTAACTAAATTTACAGACTATTAACTTTTTTCGATATTTTCTCTAACTTTTTGACAAAAATTAAAACCAAACTAATTGCCTAATTGGTGCTTACTAGAATTCTTCTATATGGTTTAGATGTAGGTTTTGGGAAGCGATTAGTTCCAGCAAAAAAAGAATCAAATTTGTTAAAACTAAATTGTAAGCTGGAGATGATTTAGCTTACGATCTTTGTATAAGTTTGACTTAAGATTTACATAAAACCGAAACGATGTTCATTGGGTTAGGTTATTTATCAAATTGGCATGGTGAAACACTATATAAAGGAATGAAAGAAGAAGAAGAGAGAGAGATGATAAGTCTACCACATTACCACCATTCGTATACCTTTCTCTTCCTTCTTTTTTTTTTTGTTGCTTTTGATTTTGGTTCCTCTTGTGGCATATGCAATTTGGTTGGCATTATAGCCACAACCTCAATAGAATCTTAAGATCATGTGAAAACGTAGACAAAATGGACACTTAAAGGCTACCTTAGAGGTTAACTAAGGCACCGAAGTCATTCTTGGAACGAAGTTGGCTCTAGCGGTGTGCCTTAGAGCCAACTCTGTTCCAAGTATCGATTCGGTGTCTTAGTGATCATGAGACTCTGGCTTAACCAACTACTCAAAATTCGAGCAACATGGTTGTTGGTTTGATATCAGTTCAAGCTCAAAGTGTTAGACATGGTTCCAAGTGTCTTATTCACTTAATGTTTTTGTTGTTGATCATTCTTGTAATCTCTTCTTGGGTTTTGAGAGAGTTAGAGTCTGATTGTTACTGTAACCATTAAAGGTGAGAGTGAATTGATTTGAGAGAATCAAACCAAGACGTAGCGCTTCACACCCTGCGAGCTCGAACTCTTATCATCGACTTTTTACTCTGTTTTTGCTCTGTTTTATGTTTATGATTCTGAGTGTTTTCATCATTTGATGAGTATAATTGAGTGAATGTGAGTCTGTGAGTCACTAACAACAAGTAAGGATTTGAGGTTTGTTGATCGATTTTTCCTATGTAAAGTGACAGTAGCAATCTCAAAAATGGTCTTTAAGTTTAATGATGATATGGTATTATCATGATACACATATACAAATCTATTATGAACTATTAACCAAATCGATGAAGGAGCAACCAAAACAATATGATGATGATATGGTACACATCTATTATGAATTATTTACCAAAGAAACCAAAACTTTATATCTTTGGTCTCAACAAGGTAGTTTGAAACCCATATACCTACTAGAGACAAAATCATTCCAAACTAGTCATCAACACAATGTTCAATGCCATGAAAATACCAACCGAGAACATGATAATGGAAGCCCTTCCATACTCAGTTATAAGCTTTTGAACACCTTTAGTCCCATGAGGGAAGCCACAAAACATATAACAGCAAATACACTTGCGGTTCCAGTATGTTCCATGCCTGGTAACAAGTACTGAATCGCAGACATTGTTGATGAATACAGAACCATGAAAGAACAAGTCAGCTGCATTTAGCTACAACAAAACCAAAAACATAGTCTTTTAACTTGAGATATAGCAAAAAACAGAGTATTTTCTGATCGAGCCAAGAACTTGACTACGGATGTAGCTTGCAAGGACAGATAGTAATGCAACAGTCTTGAGGCAAAGGTATTGCATGACCTTGTTAACGACAAGACCGAATCATTGGCTAAAGATGCAATATACCTACTGGTTATGGTTATGTATTTTACTTTCATTGGCTAAAGATCCGAGCGTGAGAAACGCCATGAGTCCATGACTATTGGACGATGTTGATCACTTCAATTAATTCATTTTTCAACAAGTTTATTTTTTTGTTATTGGTCAACTTTAGCAACAAAGCTACTTGTAAGTGGAATTAATTTCTTACGTGGCCAAAACATAACATGTGTCGTTGAAGAAAAAAATTGTTCATGCATGATCCTTGTCCCACAAATTGCCACACTCTAGTGCTCCCAAGTACATCCTTCGATACTGACGATACCGTATATAATAGAAAATATTGTGTCTTTCGTTCGACGATATTGTAAAATAAAATCAGAAAAGAAAAAAGAAACATTATAAAAAGGAATGAAAGAGGAAGAAGATGTGAAGTCTATTGCACTACCACCACTCTTACACCTTTCTTGTTCAGGTTGAATTTGAGAAGTTGAGGTAGGTTTACCAACTCTTGAATTTCTCACACTCTCGATCAAGTTTCTCTTTTCGAGTTTGGTTTCTCAAACCCACCTCAAATTCTCCAATTCCACCAGAATCTTAAAAATCTCTTACACCAATCTCGTCCACCGAGAACTCATCTGGATTGTAGTTGTGGGAGATACTTGGAGTTTCACCATTATCCATGAATTCTTGTGGTAGCTAGAAACGTAGATTTTTGATTTCCAACGGCCTCATCAATATAGTTTTGAGATCATGTCGTCAAACAAAGATCTTTCCTACAAAATTGAAACTTGAGGGCAGCTTCAGAGTCAGAGGTTTATGTGGAGCAGAGATTCACTTAACCATTAGACCCACACGTAGTGCGAAAACCGCATTGGTAAGAGGGTACATCCCAAAATGATATCCAATCTTTTGTTGTTGGAGGCCACACCAAGCGTCGCAATGTTCCAATATATCAAAGGGATTCTAAATCATAATGAGATATACTAGAACGTTGGAGCGGTTGATGTGACCTCCAACAACACAAGAATGGATATCATTATGGCCCGGATGCACTCTCTGACCAGTGCGGTTTTTACCCTACGTTATGGTCAGGACCGACCCTGAATTTTTGGGGATCTAAAATATTTTTAAGGGTTTTATAATACCTGTTGAATTTGATATTAAAAATTGAGTTTATGTCCACAACATAACTTTTATTTGACCATATATATTCGAATGCACGAGATGTGCATTCTGAATAGTGATTTAAAAATCATACAAAATAAAGAAATAGAGAGCTTATTAACTCTAAATGACCAAATAGATGAAAAAGCAACAACATGATGATATGATATACACATCTATTATGAAACTTTTAACCCAAGAAACCAAAACTTTCGTTTTTTGGTCTCAACAAGGTAATTTGAAACCCATGTAACGACCAGAGACATAGTCATTCCAAACATCAAGAGCTCCATAGCTTGTCATCAACACAATGCTCAATGCCATGACAATGCCAACCGAAAACACGATGATCGAAGCCCTCCCATACTCGGTTATAACCTTTTGAACCACCTTTAGTCCTACGAGTGACGCCACAAAACATATGACCGCGAATATAGTTGCGGTTCCAGTATGTTCCATGCCTAGTAACAAGTACTGAATCGCAGACATTGTTGATGAAAACAGAACCATGAAAGAACATGTCGCTGCGGTTACCTATAACAGAACAAAAACAGTCTTTTAACTTGAGATTTTGGAAAAAAAACAGAGTCTTTTCTGATTGAGCCAAGAACTTAATTACCTCGGGAGCGATACCGACTTGGAGGAGGAGAGGGCTAATGAGCATTCCACCTCCAATACCGAAAACACCACCCAAAACTCCAGCTAAAAGAGCCATTACAGGGAACATACACTTGTTTGATCTTGCTCCATCATTTGATCTCAAATCTTCTACATCCTACATGCACAAAATCGTTTTCGGACATTCGTCAAATCTTTATCTTTTCGAAAAGTAATCAAGTGTAAAGTGTTTGTTGGAGTTGTGTGAAAACGAACCTTTACTGAGACATGGTAATCTGATGGTTGTTGGCTTTGAACACTGTCACTGAAACAGATCCATAGAGTGAAGAAGAGAGTGAGTG